TGACTAACCTTTTCATTGATTTCAAAGGTTACCCTGTGCAACTAACTGGAAAGAACATAATAAGGTTTTTTTAACATCAACCATTGCTTTCTGTACAAAGTCAAAACAGCATTTCCAGTTGAAAACATGACTTATTTTCCTTAGCATTATAATATGTCTGATTGGTCATGAGTGCATCTTTTTTTCTCCTTTTTTCTTTCAATGTTGCATAATGCATTTGGGTTTTTCCTATTTTATCTAAAATAGTGTTTCTACATCAATGGATACTCAGCTTCTCCTCCCATCTATTAGTTTTCCTCCTCTTTTCCCAAGTTCTCACCTACACATCCAATGGAACTTAGTTGTGCTAAAACACAGAATCTTCTCTTTAGTAAAATGGTATTTTACCACCTACAAATGCTCTTGATTTGGAGAACAGGGGAAACAACAGCTTATCTGCTTGATAGTGTTGGAAAATTGGATATCTTTAAATTGAGATGGCAAAAAGGGAAATGAAGCTATCTGAGACAGAATATTGCACTGTGTACATGTTGAAGAAGTTCGCTAAATTAAAATGTGGAACAGTTAAAACAACAAGTTGCAATTTTCTTTCTTTTTTTCCTGTCTTCAGCCCCACATGGGTTCTAAGATATAAAAGAAAACTAGATGTTCAAGGTGGTATCTTGTATAAGAATTGTAGAGTGACTGTATAAAACTAGTAAATATTCCATCAAAACTACAGGTACATAAGAAGAAGATAGTTCAATCTTCCAAGATTGTCTTGTGATGACCCTTCAGGCACTTGAAGAGTGTTTTCACATTCCTCTCAATCATCTCTTCTCTAGGCTGAACGTGCCCAGTTCTTTCAATCACTCCTCACAGGGCTTTGTTTTCAGTCCCAGAATCATCCTTATTGCCCTCTGAACCCTTTCCAGTTTGCCTGCACCTTTCTGAAACTGTGATGCCCAGAACCAAACACAATACTTCAGATGAGGCCTAACAAGGGTTTAGTGTAGGGGAATGAATGCCTCTCATGATTTACAAGTGATACTTCTATTAATGCAGCCCAAAATAGCAATTGCCCTTTTTGCAGCCACATGGATACAGATTATGAATAAACAAGCCAAACAGCAAAACTTTCCTTGTGGACATATTGTTTTGTCGAATAGGACAGGGGAATGTTTCATGGGAATCCAGAGCTGCCAGAACAAGTGAAACAGCAATACGAAGGTCAATGCCTCTTGTACAGAACTCTTTCTGCTCCTGCTTTAGAAGTCGTCCATATACACATTGGGTCTACCTCCCATTCCAAGGAGATGAGGAGGTAAGAGTGAGCGAAGACCCAACTATCTCAATTAATTTGTATACATATCTTATCTTAAGAGTGATACAAAGAGTTCACAGTGCCTGGTAATTGGTGATATGGTATCTTTACTGAGGCCTCATGGTTTTCTTACAACAATTAAACCTAAACACTCAACATCTGCACTGAGAACTGGAAGTAGTTCACCCTTAACTCCTCATCACAATGTCTTCTGGTTATTCAGCTCCAGTTCCTGCAATTGGGAAGAGAGCCATT